AGAGTGGGTGTGCAAGCGTAGAAAAACAGGAAAGACACGAAAATCATACTTAAATGCAAGACATAAGTATACAAAGGTTCCAGTGTCCCACCTTGGCGTACTTAGACACCATTCCGCTGACTAGGGTTCACGGAATTTCATATCCGAGTGGTTTCCATTCTTCTAAAGGGTCATAACAATCGTAAACATCCCAGATAAAGATGAAAACAGATAACATCTTCGTCCGAGAAATGGACTGTCCAGCAATAATTCCGAAAGCAGTTTAGTTATCAAGCTTCCATCACGCGAGATTGTGACAAGCCGATCACTAAATCTTCGGACTTGTTCAGTACTCACGAGCTCAAGAACAAGGAAGAAGTAAGTGGGATAGCCAAGTGGGAATAGTATATCTGATGAACTGTGCCAAATTACTAATGCGTTCCAGATGACCGGCTAGGAAATCACGAAATGGAAACGAAACGTAACAGGACGTGCCAGCTGCATGGATACTTGACTGTATGTCTTCAGCCTGACCAGTCCAAAACATGAAGGTCAGGATCAATGGTAAATTTTGTTGAACCCTATGCTATTGGATTTGGGGGATTGCATGTCACTCCGTTCTAGTGGAAACGTAAGCGCCACATGTTAACGTCAGCTGGAAGTGTAAACCGGATAGCCTCACCCATTGGCAAGCTATTCTAATGGGTTCAGTGAAAAAAGTGGCTCCTGGCTGTCTAGGCTTACTGTAGGGTGCTGTTGGAAAAGCGGATGGATAAAAGAGTAGGCTGATCGTGATCCTCACAGATCTCCAACTTTCAGTGCAGTACCTGTCACTCCCGAAAGGGAAGCAAAAGCCTTTCATAGCACCACAAAATTTTACGAGGACGAAAATCGAATCACTGTTGTCCCCAGCAAAAGCTGTACAATGATGAAAAGTAAGAAAGGTACATATTGTCCCGTGTAAAAAATTGAGTATGTTCGTAAGTATTTCGACAACATTAGGGTTCGATGGGATTGTGTTTAGGTTTAGTTGGAGCTGTTTGTATCTCCGGGTGTGCTGGCGGAAACTTCGACGGCCGGGCACCCTGGTTAGGGGGGCTTTATGAGGGGAAACATCGCTCTCAATGAGGATACATTTGCAAAGAGCTCGTTTCAGACAATGGATACTGACAGTATCTTTTCACTAGTTTTGCCCGATCATGCAAACGTTTACGCACCGCTTGTCTAGTCTGAATGGTCCTTCATCAGATAGCTTGGGTGGCTGACGAACAGCTTCGTGGAAAATGAAAATGTATGGTGTCTTTTGTACAGAGGGTTAAGTGAATTCGTAAGTTGTTTGAGGTCGATTAGGACTAGCCCTAACTGAAAGCATTGAGTTTGAATCCTTAGCCAATGTCCTACTAGTAGTGGTTGTGTGATTTGTTGATGACGGTGAGAGGAACTCACCTAGTAGATGAAAAGGAGTTCATGATGAGTCACGCAGGAGTGCATCCAACACTAGTTTTAGGCGCTTTTGACGCACTAGCTAACAATAGAGGCAGTGCATTTATCCACTGAGGTTAGCCTTCAGGCGTCAGTGGAAACACTCTGGCGTACAGTTTTCTCACGGATGGTCTTTCATTCAGAACCGAGTAGTATTTATGAGGTGTGAATGCAGCGTGAAGCAGTCCACGCCCGAACTGTTGCCAACGTTCAGTCGATATCGAAGATAGACACTGAACGTTAGCCATCCATCTTCCGACAAAAACGTGGACAAAGGTTTCAGAAATACTGTCTTTCACATGTACTGCTTCTCGCCATCTCGCAGAACGATCCACACAGGTGGAAATATGAATGTAACCACCAGATTCTGACAGTCGTTCTAAAATATCTGCACGAACGTCCTAGGAGACAGTATCCACTAGGAGAAGGGAAAACAGAAACTCCTTCCAAGAAATGATTTCACAGTTTCGACAGGCTACGCGTGATCAGCCCCACACTCTAACGCCTCTGTTTATCCCAGGGCAACAGAGAAGTTGTACAGCAAACAACAGTGGCTCACACATCTGAATGAGATAGAAAATGCAACATACCGTAGACGTCTCGTCGACATCTTTTGGAACCATTGGGCCTGGTTGACAGGCAAGTACATAACATAAAGTTGCATCGTCAGAGGGTCGTATTGTAGTTGTAGCTTAAGATTGGCGGTTAACAACCAGTGGTTTAGCTCGGGATCTTCTTTACAAGACAAGCTAAATTAACAGGATCGGTCCACACGAAGTGATTCATCGAAGGCCGTTATGATAGAGCGTCAGCTAGTCAGTCATTTGCACCAGATATGTCATGGATAATCGAAGTAAACTGGGAGATGTAACCCAGTTGTGACGACCACGTAAGAAGTACCTAAAGAACTCTGAGCAAAGCGAGTAGCTAAGCTGTTTTACATGTGCAAAAACCGTGAAACCATGACCTTCAGTTAAATGTCGGAAATTGCACGTGCAAAAATGCGTGGTCATGGGCCCATTGGCGGATATACTTCCAACACAAGCCGTTGGTTCCGTCCATAGGTAACTTCCCTAATGTACTAAAAATAAGTTTTTACGCACACTGCGTATGAAGCTTTGACTAGAAATTCAGGGTTTTTATCCCACGAGGTTTCGCTGTCGGTTTTCCACGCAAATTCTTTCGTAGGCTGAGACGCCGTGTTGCTGTGTTGTGCCAAGACCTATAGCTCCAAGTACGTTGTAGCCGTTTGGTAATGCCGTCTAGCTCTGCCATTTCTGAATCTGAACACATAGATGTTTACCCATAGATGACACGTTGCATACGAGTCTACTAGAAATCTTCCGTAATTTATCACCCACCACCATCAGTAAATAGACTGTATCAGACTGAAGCGTCACCAGCATGGTTTGCACAGGCTGTGGAAGCTCTGGAAGAAACAGTTCACGGAAAGAGCCTTCATTAAGCGTCCGTTTGCGAAATTACCTCTGTCATTCATATGAGCACGTCAGTGACCGGATTATTTTGTACCTCGATGTCACGGACCAATTCACGCAATCACTGATGATCTGTGAGGTCGCCTTCATTCAGCAAGGCTACACTTAGCACTGTGTTGGAATCACTTACTTCAGGGTTGAACAAGTGTGCTGTAGCGTACCTGCATAATTGTCGTGGTAATTTATGCACGACGGCAAGAAATTGAGAGTGAGGGGCTGTTCTCAGATAGCGGCCTCATCGTACAAACGTAATTTTTCTGCTGTTTTCAGCCGGAATGGCATGAGATGAATCGAGTGAGATGTAGGTTTAATATGGATATGCTTAGTAATCTGGTATCAAATGCGTACAGAAATCTACAGCAGGAACAAATAGAAGTTTCGAATGTCGGAACGAAAAGGTACAAGAACAAAAAGGAGAGAAGTCACTAGGTAAGGTATTATCCCCACCAAAAATTGATGCATCCAGAGGCTAATCACTAAATCTTCGGACTTGTTCAATACTCACCAGCTCAAGACCAGGGAAGAAGTAAGTGGGATAGCCAGGTGGGAATAGTATATCTGATGAACTGTGCCGAAATACCAATGCGTTTCAGATGACTGGCTAGGGAGTCACGAAATGGAAACGAAACGTAACAGGACGTGCCAGCTGCATGGATACTTGAATGTGTATCTTCAGCCGCTCTTACGATAGTTGGCCTAACCTACGAAGACAGACTTAAGGAGCTGGACATCCTCACTTTGTCCTGCCGGAGAGAGAGGGGAGACGTAATCATGCTATGCAGGATTCTAAGAAGTGACTTTGAACCTGATCTATCTTCTCTTTTCCTTCCCACCAGGTCGGAACACCTTAGAGGACACAGTAGGAGACTACAGAAGCAAGGAACGAATAAAGTCTTCACGGAGTACTGGTTCTCGCGTCAAGTAATCAACTTCCGGAACTGACTCCCAGGATAAGTGGTGTCCGCATCATCAATTGACTCGTTCAAAACGGGATTGGACAAGCACAGAAATCGTCTGGAATAGGATTAATATAGGCTCCCAGCCTCCCATCCTCAAACAACAAATCTGAATCTGACCAGTCCATTAAAACTACGAAGGCCAACACCAATATCTGTCAGCCGCAGGCTGATTTTGATGGATTCGTTTTCCACTGCAATGGCATGCATATTTCGTCCACCTTATTTGTGACAGTGAAGAGTTTCATATGTAAATAAGCACTACTTCCGGTCCCCCGCCATCAGCACGATCAAATCATTTCGGGATGTGTGACTGGATGGTAATTTAGTCTCACAACTTAACGTAATAACATAAATCTCAATGACTACGTCCTATATGCATATAGTTCCAGTTAACCTGGTTTACCTTCCAAAGAACCAGAACTGAGCGAAACTTCAATGTATTCACGCCCGTAATGATCAGTTACATGCTATGACGTCAAATACATACTCCTGCAAAATCTGTGGAACATAAGAGGCCTACAAGGAAAAAATATTTTCATTGCACGGTAGCAACTTAGAGATGCGTTGGGTATAGCGAGGGTGTCATTTGAAGCTAATGGACAGGGCATAACGCTGTGGCATGTGACCAGCAACATAGACAGGGAAGTGGGACATTTAACGAGTTACCTGGTTTGATGTTTCTACTATTCATTATTAATTCCTCGGATGTCCACCGAAATGATGTCACTCGGAAGGGATTCATTTCACATACACACCATCCTGCTTAGTGTCATCATACGACTTGTTATCTCTGGAATTCCTCTTCGCTGAACATACAATGACTCACCCTACACTTAAAAAGAAGACATACCAGACTGATTGATATATTTTCTCTCAGAAATGATATCCTCAATTTCAACGCACGTGATTAGTGCACATATGTTTGTTTTGAAATAAAGTGCTTGCGGATTTGAACTCGACACAATGCTTTTAATACAAACCGACTAACCACAGAAATTGCATGAAGTGGTTTTCAACCTAGCAAGGGAAAGCTGTTATTGCTTCTCAGTCACGACTGCATAAATACTGATGTTATGACTTTGAAATGAAACAAAGCGGATACAAGTTGTTAACTGCTAACCATACATATTGGATATTGATACAAAGTATTGGATGTTGGACTACTTGTTTTCACTTCAGGAAGTCTTTTTTAGCTAAGAACAATAATTTTTCTAACCTTGTGATGTCTACCCAACATCACATGTATGTGTATGTTTGTCTGACAAATATCCAATTATTGAGTATGTTGTTTGATTATACTCCATTACAATCTGAACTAAATTTTAGTAATGTCTACATGTAGTAAACTGTATTCTATACTAAAATCGCCTGTAACATTAAAGATACCATCAGTCAACTCTCAAGTTGATCACATGGTTCCTGCAAAGCGCTTGTATACTGAAGACAACTTGTGGCAGTGTTGGGAATGTGGAAAGTCGTATGACAGTGGACCTCATCTTTCAGACCATCTCAATGTTTGTAAAAAAGAGGACGATATCTGTGAACAGTTACCTGGTTGTCCATTTTGTCCTCGCATCATAAATCAACCAAATGATACTGCGTTTCATATCCATTCCTTCAATTCGCATTTAAATACATTCCATCCAGATGTGAAATCTTTTATGTGTAGCTACTGTATGGATGTTATTCATTCCTGTAAAATTGAAGATTTAGTGTCTCATGTGATTCTAACGCATAAAATACCTTGGAGACCATCACCAGGTAAGGTGGCAGTATGTTTTATTCATTCTTTGTCCTATGTCCTTTTCAGTAATCTGTTTCTTGTGCTTACTTGTTATATGTAACAAGCAAACCTAAAAATATCACCATTTATTTATGTGGGTTACTTGTCTCAATGTTCATTCATAGTTATAGTTAGTGTGGTGCCTAATCAACAATTTCATCGAGTCCAATAGGTCAACGTTGGGTCCAGCGTTGGTTCATGAATCTGATGTGAGACCAGATGTAATGTACATGAGGCCAAATGTTTGGCTACTACTTTGGTCGGCCTAAATGTAGTACCAACAATCAATATATGGGGCCAGACGTAAGGAAAACGTAGTGAAACCCTACTCCTTGTCCTGCGTTTGGTTCGACGTTATCTATAGTGAGCGGCCCAATATTGCCTTATTTAACCCGACGAAAATGTTGACTAGATTGACTCCTGCAAAGCCTAAATGTTTTACTATTAGAACCACCAAGAAAATATTGATTTGGCTGAAAGTCAAGTAATACGGTCCATTATGCATTCTTGCACCGAAAAATGGATGCAAGGGTTTAGTATAGTGTAATTTATAGTCTTCAAGCATGTTTAGTATTTCTGAGTATGGTCTAGACTAAACTCAACTTAGCAAATATCTCAGTTTAATCTATTATACATATGATTAAATTGACTGTTTTATGATTGATAGATTGTGTAGTCTTTCAGACTGATATGAAGGTAAATATGCTTAAACTGGGACCAAATAGGTAAAATAACTTAGTTTATATAGTCAGCTGCAAAGTACAGGAATCGTTAGATTAAATTATGTGTTACAAAACTATCACTATTATTACTATTATTTGTCACTTTGGGTTCCTAATGGAACATACCGCTTCAGTAGCACGTCACCATTTCACTCTCCTCTCTTCAGTCTTTTCAACCTGGCTCCACGACAGTCCAGAAGCTCTCATTTCTTCTTCTCACAATCTCCTCCATCTCACCCTCACCCTCACCCTCATCTCGGACACCCAACTCCTCGCTTCCCATCTCGGTTCCACTAGACTGCCTCGCCTGGCGCGTCATGTCCTCAGTCGGCATTCTCAGTGTATGCCCAATCCAATCCAATCCATCTCCATTTCATTCAACTGCATATTTCTTCACTGATAGATTCTTGCTTCGTCGGTTCGTTGCCAGCCAGCCAGCCAGCCAGCCAGTCAGAGTTCCTTGGTGCTTATTCTTATTATTCTGGCCATCTGATATTCAGTAACGAGCCAGTGTAGGTGGCAGTTGTTCATGAATGTTTGTAGTTTCTTGGAAATGCCTTTCGTAACACGCCAAGTCTCTCAATCATCACACAGAAGCACTGACTTGACGTCGGTGTTGGAACTCCGGATGTTGTTCCACATGCTGAGTGCACTGCAGATCTCCACACTGGTTTCAGGTTAATGAACACCTGTCTTGCAATCATTCCAATCCTGGCTGGCTTTGACGTCCTCGTCTGTGCCACCTGTAGTTGAGACAGTGCTGCCTAGATAGGTGAAAGAGGCTACTTCGTTTAAGTTTCTCCCATTGATGGTGATTGGAGCTTGTTGCTGTTGTTGTTGGTTGGGTATCTTCATCACCTCTGTCTTCTCTACGTTCACTTGAAGACCCGTTTTCACTGCTTCTTCTATCAACTTGTTGGTTTTCTCCTGTAGATCTTCAAGGTCGTGTGACACTAGACATGTCATCGGCGAAACGTAAATCTTCTAGGTTGTTTTCCACGGTCCAGCGTATGCCCCTCTTCTCGCTCCTCACTGTTTGTTGCATGATCCAGTCTACTGCAATCAGGAATATCATGGGTGATAGTAGACAGCCTTGTTTTACTCCTGTCTTCACTTCAAAGGCATCACTAAGCTTCCCATTATGCGTTACTTGGCATGTGACGTCTTCATATAGTTGTTGAATGAGATTGATAAAGGTTTGTGGTGCTCCGTATTGTTGAAGCAGCTGCCAAATTACTTGTCGGTCGACGCTGTCAAAAGCCTTTTTAAAGTCGATGAAGTTGAGGTGGAGGGTTGACTGCCATTCTATACTCTGTTCTATGATGACGCATAAATTAAGGTTGCAATTTGGTCAGCACTTCCTGAATCCAGCCAGCCAACCTGTTCCGGTCGTAGTTTTGAATCCAGCATATCCTTTAGTCTCTCCTGGATGATGCGGCTTAATATTTTGCTTCGGGTGGACAGGAGCGTGATTCCGCGCCAGTTCTTGCAAAGGCTTAGGTCTCCCTTCTTTGGGAGTTTGACAAGGTAACCCTTCCAATCTGCAGGTACCTTCCGTTCCTTCCACACCTTCTACAGTAGTGGTGTGAGCATGTCCGCTGTTGTCTCTGCATCTGTTCTCGATGCTTCTGCTTCCTCCTTCTCTTCATCTGCATTATTTATAGGTGCGTAGCATTGTATGGTTGTGACCTTCCTTCCTCTTGAGTTGAACCTTGCTGTTATGATCCTGGAGGAGATTGGTTCTCACTGCATGAGAGCCTGCGATGCTCTTGGGGACGTCATGGTAGCCACTCCAAAACTCAGTGTGCTCGTGGTTGTCGTCTGGGTGACAATGTCGGAGTAGATTATTGACTCTCCAGTTGACAGTTTGGAGAGTCCACTTCCACTCCATCTACTTTCGCAGATTCCAAGCACTTCTGTACCATACCTTCTCATCTCTTTTGCAATCTGCGCAGCCTTGATAGGTTCATATATAGTGCGGACATTCCATGTCCCCACGTTTACTTTCGCTGTCATCGAGAGAAGATATATCGGTGAGTTGGGTTCCCGAAGGTTTTCACCAACCGGCGTGATTTCGTGTCTCCGATTCGAGCGAGGAATAAGTTAACTTTTATGTTTTATATTTTGTTTGTGCTTTGAAGTTTTTTTTAGCGGTTGGATTTGTTTTGCGGGGTAGGGTTGCTAGCCCTATACCCAACCTTTCCTGTTTACCTGGGCTTAGGATCGGCTAGTAACTAGTGAACTAGTTAACCAGGCGAGCTTTTACAAAACTATTAGAGGAAAATGTAGAGACTATGCACTAGTAGTTCTCGTTAAAGTAGCACTTAAAATTATAGTGTTAATGTACAACCACTTAACTAAAAAACTAGAAAACTTTGTTGAATGCTGATTTTCTATTTTTTCACAATATTGAATTCATAATGTAAAGAAAATATCACTTTTTTTTATAAGTTTAAAGGCTTTCAACAGATTATTGCGCATTTGTTCAGTGGGCAATGTACCATAACAGTTATGTGACGGCTAATAATACTATCTGGCCACCCAAACTCCGGGAGACCAAGTGGTGTTCTAACCCATGACCCACTGAATGAAAGTCAACTGCTTAAACCAATGAATCACAGCTCTACTATCGCTGAGTTTCAAACAAGTTCGATTCAGGGATTTTACTATGCTATCCCAAAAATCTTTTGTTATCTATACTCGTAGATTAATGAATTATGACTGTGTGTGTACTTTGCAGAGATGGGAATATTAACTGTCAGGTTAGTATTGTAAACATGAGCCAGCAAATCGTCATAGTCTAGATCCAGTAGCTGCATCAACACTTAAGGTACTCGCTGATATAATAAAGTACAATACAATAAAATACATCAAATTAAGACTTGATTCTACACTTCTCATCCTAATTTTTTTTATAAACGCTATAGAATCTTCTGAATATGTTTATATCTTAATGAATTCGAAATTTGCTTGGCTGATTGTTATTTATGTGATGAAGTCATGACTTAGGCTGAAAAAAACAATCTAGGCTGTGACCAGAGTCAAATATTGAAGTCATATGTCTGAAGCATTTTGTTACCGGTCGCTTCATCCAGTCAGTTAAGCTTTTATAAATATCACAGACCCGTTTTTAGTTATTTTAAGGGAGAAATCGATATCAGAATCCTTGTTCACTTATTCCCAAGCATATTAATTAGGATTAAGTTATTATCTCTTCCAGGAAATTCCACAGTATATACAACGAGTTTTAATTAAACCTCAAATGAAACTTCAAAATCACCGTGTTGCTTGGATATGTGTGTGACCAAAAAGTTGTTTGAAAACTTACCTCTTAAAAATCAATACTTCAAAGAAAACACCTGGTCATGCATCACAACAATGGTTTATGTTATTGGTATTATCTTCGACACTGAGTCTTCACAATAAATGTGAGCAGTGGTAGTTGACGAAAGAAAAGCTTCAACACTAGACAGTACTACGGAGTGATTCAAGCCTATTAAGAATACTGGCAAGAAGACGATGGCTAGTGGGGCCGTCGTCGAAAAGGATACCTCCCTGATAACCCCTCAATGTACGCATCTGGAGTGTTGGGCTTACAGTCATTCTTCTGTTGCTCAACATCCATCCTAAATGTGAATGGAAAGTAAACGTCTGTCCTCCATCTCTCTTCAAAGTTGAGATGGATTTTTTTTCAAACCTTTAACAGTGTATTTGATCGTTCTCCGCTAGTTTTAAGAAAGTAGGAAATTAGTGAATAGAGTAGCGGAGATATCAGGTAGTGAGTGGGAATCAGACGTAGTTCCGTTGGGCTGGTCGTGACCATTGACCATTCGATTTTATAAGAGAGAAGTTTTGTGATAGCCACAGGCGAATTACTTTAGCATCCTATCCAAGACCTTATAGTCAATAGTCATACGATTCCTGATTGTAGCTCGGCAACGGTAAATTTGAAGAAACCAAATGGCTTTAAGACTTGATCAAGAGTGCAGTGATGAAAAAACCTTAATTTCAACCAGAGTAGCACATAGAGATTCACAGATATTAAGTGAAACGAAGGGTTTTGAGGCTTGCGTCTCCTTATCCCCTGCTTAAAAGCTAGAACGATTCTAGTTCTGAATTATTTGATAAACTATTGTTTGCAAATGCAACAGTACTTTGTATGCTCGGTTCTTAAAAAGCTATCACTATTCCAAACTCTATTGGTCGAACTAGTTCGCGATGATAAATAGAGCAGGCAAATGGTATCACTAAACGTGAATAGATATAATTCGAAGTCTACTTAGAATTGTATTGACTACATAACTGTGTGGTTTATCCTAAAAAAAAACATGTGTTATGCATACTGATTCACCGCCTAACTCGACGTGCCATGTTAGGGAAAGCTGGATTAGGTTGAAAGAGGGATCAAGGTGACCACATCAATACATGACACCACTAGATGAAGTCCTTGACTGTTAGTGTTAGCCGTATTGGGAAGTGTAAACTACCTGGCTGGGGTTCCTGAGATCACAGGAATCAGTGGTTAAGGACTCTAGGTGACATTGTTGGAAATCGATCACAACTCAGATTTATTCACTCTTGGCACTAACTTTTATCTTCAAATTGTTCCTTCTCTCACAACTTGGTCCACTTTGATGTCATTTTTTTCTATTCACCTGTTCTTTGTGTACTACTGTAAAGGGTGGCAACTTAAAGTGGTGCATTTGTGTGCGAGGTTCTCCGTTGGTTCTATCTGTCTGAAAAAGAAAATGTATTTTTAGTAGTATTACGATTCTTGTCAATTTCGGGGGGTGGCGTATATTCTTGGTGACATTAAAAATATTACTACGAGCATTGATGTTATCTAGAAGAATGACGTCACGAGTTTGAATCCTGCATCAAAAATGCTATGGAAAATAAAGCATCATCTTTTGAAGTCAATAGTTTTAACTAGTGATATATTAGGTTGAATGCTTCTACACTCTCTGCTGTTTGAGCTTCTAAATATCTCATTGAAAGAGATGTCCGGGAGGTACATCGCCCTGTTGAAGACTATTTGAACACATGTAGGAGAATACTTAGTAGATGTAGAGTACGCAAATAACATTGTCCTGTTAGGTGAAGATACTGACAAGATGCCTAGTCTTCACACCTTGAGTGGCAGTTGAAGAATGATTGGGATTCACTTCTTACCACCAAAAAGCACATTGTTGCTCCTGGGTTGGTTTGCTTCGGTATCCCGTCTAACATGGAAAGTCGTATTAGTCCTGACGGGTCAGTGGCCAACAAAATCTCAGCACGGATATAAAGAGGCTCGATTGGCTTTCTCTAGCTTATGCGGTCTGTGGTGTTGGTTTGATATTCGATTGGTTGTCGTCGGTCGAGTGTACTACGCACCATTTCACTCTTATACTGTGACCGTGAAACACGACCTTTAAAAATGGGGAACATGAGAAGGATTCAAGTATTCAACCATCGTTGCCTTCGTTTCATAGGCCGTATGTCATAGTATCACCGACGACATAAAAGTCAGGCGCAGAGATCTAGAGAGAAGAGGAAAATTTGTCGATAAAGTTGTGAACCTTTGTCGGTTCAGGTGGTTGAGTTATGTGTTGCTCATGTCTAATCATCGTGTGCCCCAACGCAGATTGTTACCTGCAGTCGGTTAGAGGTGACTAGATTAAAACATGGAATAAGTGTATAAAATCTTTGACCGTTGGTCAAATCCGTAGGCAAATGTAAACTTGGTTGGGGTCCACGTGACGAAAAAACCAGTGGTTAGAGATTCTAGGTGATTTGGCTCAGAATCGATCTCTTCACAGAATGTCTTCATTTTAATCGTCAAACTAACTTTCATTATTGTTCCAATTCTTCTTGTTCTCTTTTCACGATTTACTACTGCTGTTAACTATTTTCTTCCTTATTTCCTTATGGTTCATCTTGGTACATTCTCTATTGATATGATGATGTTAGATGTCGCGAATTGAGCCATTACACAGTAATGCCTAGTCCTATGTTGAAGTTGTCTGTTGTTCCTTTAGCTGCTTATTCCTCTGTGGGTGGATCAGTTCCCCTATTCGTCTCAGTCACTTTGGATAGAGTGCGTTAGTTCCGTGAACATTTCGTTTATATTTTCATTGGACGAAGTTTTCCAGCGGATCAAAAGTATTCTATTCGATAGTAAAATTACTTTACAAACATCGATAATTTGTATGGATGCAGTTACTATATTCCTCTAACAAAGGGTCTGATTTCAGTCTGCAGCATAAACAGCCCATCGAACTACTAAATTATATGATGGTTGTTCCCCCCCCCCCCGAAAGTTTAATCCATTGCATTTAACATGTTCTGTAACTAATCACTAAGTTAGTTGATTATTTAGAACGTAACTCGGATAAGCAGTCATATACTGAATGGATAATCTAAAGGTGACTGTGATGTTCTTTTCAAAAATGAAAATCAAAATATTGTGCCAATTAAAAGGTATCTAATCAGAATTCGTGAAATTTCTTATTCGTTCCCCCACAATAACATCAACCAAAATATGCTACACTTCGCTTTCTACCATATTGAATTGACCATCATATTTAAATAAGTGGCTTTACATTACATGAACTGAAAATTATTATCATTGACAGTGGCAAACCATTGTTATGAGACCTGAATTCTATATCGTTCATTGTTTACTAGCCCTAGGACTGGATGGACAAAACGAAGGTGTGATCAGTGTATGACGTGGCGCCGTGGGATGAAAGATAGCGTTTATTGGTGCATCATGACTCCTTGAGTGGGATTTCTTGGTGACCTCATTGTGCCATGTTTGTGTTCGAATAAATTATCCTATGAACACCAGACCACCTATACTGAGGCAGTTAATTGATTTCAATGTATAGAGTGTTGCTTTGAATTTACTTCCTAGGAATGCGTAATATGTTTTGCAATCGTTGGTTTGATATTCTATCAATCGGTAGGAAATCAAAGCCAACCACAGACTCATTAACTAATAAATGCTTTTCAGTTAGTCTGTTGTCCAGAGACTTCACATCAGTATATTGTATTCAAGTTTTTTTTCTGACTGCACAATATTAATTGATAAAATAACTCAACTAGTCTTTCTACTTATTTACCAACTTTATTTCAATGTTAAGCTTCCCTAGCACATATGCGTGAAAGTCAACTTCCTCATCGAGTTGTTACTTGTTTGGGCTGTGGTTGGTGTACATTTGTTCTACGGGCTAATAATGCAGCACAACCACCTACCTCTTTAGAAACTCACTTAAGTCGGTGTACATATAATGGTGGTCAAGTTCATTTAACACGTTTATCAGAAGAAATGTGTATTTCTGCACTGGAAAAGTATAAAGCTGTTCAAGAAGCCGAACGTATTAGTGCAAATTTTGCTCAATCTTTTCCGCATGTTCGAGGATTTAGTAATAATTCTGGATTGACTAGTTCACCATTACGTTTTCATCGATATTCTAGTAGTAATACAGCTCGTGTAAGTTGTGCATTTTTGGGTGTGTATGATTCATTTATATTCATAATTACAACTAAGTTTTTCCATATGGTAAGGATAACATGAATCTACCAAAAAGGCTTTTTAAGAACTTTGTCTTCACACCTCATCTGTGATATAAAATGTTTCTATTACAGATGTTGGCATGCAACCTTAAGGGAACAGATATCTTCTCAAACCCGTGGCTCATTAGTTTAGGGTGATGATTTTCTACTGATAGGTCACTGGTTCGAGCCTTGCTCCGCCTACTGAGGTTTGGGCAGCCAGGTAGTATCACTAGTCCTCACACAATAGGTGTTACTCATTGCCTACTGCACGAATATGTGCAGTCGACAAGAAGCAATGGACCAAGGTTTCGTTCTTCTTGGCTATCGTCAGCAAGGCGTATCTGTAACGTCTACGTAACTGATGTTCCACCTGAGATTAGAACCCGCGTCATCCAGTAGTACAGCCAGAGACGTTACCGCTGAGCTATTCGGGCAGCAACTGACCTCCTCTTGGATTGAATTAGATACATTGCTTGGTCTCTAAAGAGTAAACAAGTTCATGTTCTCCAGCTCTAAGTGCTAACTGAGTTCTATCGATTATTTTGCAATGTGGTGTCTAAGCCAAGAGATTTACTACCATGTTGAACTTTTGATTGGTATTAGTGTGTTCAAGACAGTTGTATCAACAAGCTCAATACCTTCCGATTGAATTCAACCAACTATAACTTCAAATAAACTGATGTTGAGTATCACATGCTATTGGATGGATTCCAGGTGTTCTCCTATAGTACTGACAAAGATCTATTATGTGGTGAGATCCTTATGTGGAATAATTTTCCGCTTTGAATTTTCATCATCATTAAGAATATGTGAACTTATACACAGAAGAAATCAGTACCACTCAATATCAACACGGGACCTGGTATTACTGTCCAACGGGTCGAGTTGTTACACTTCATCTCAGCACATGAAGACATAAAATAGTGGTGGGTTAGGGAGTAGCCAAATATCGTGGAAAGTTATATGAAGAGGCGAAAAGCAAAAGAAGACGAAGTTTTATATGACAGGTTGAAGATAATGTGATAATGCGTTTTTGAGTCACTGGGATCAATTGGAGTCTCCAAACATCGATTTTAGTTGTCACCCGTACCCTAACCGAGAAGTCTACATTTCTTTACATGCTTCAAACCAGTAGGCGGAAACTTTATGGGCTGATATTATGGTTTAGTTTAACCGCTTGTGATCTTCTTTTACAGCCTTAACTTACTTCAGCTAACATCGCTCACCCGTATAGACGGTGATTAGTTATGCGTGCCATATGTCAAAGTCATCTGAATCGGTGGAGATTCGAAATTTGGTCGACAGATCTCTTTAACGTAAAACCCTACGCCCAACCTTTCTATTGATAACGTATTGGTTCTATAGAACTAGCGACAGTGGTCGAACCCTATGTTTCCCCCACCTTTAATAACGATGTTTGACAGGCATAAAGTAGGATAGAACGAAGTACTGTACAGTACATCTAACCCTCATATCATATGTGTTCTTAGGAGTCTTTTGCGTTAAAGTCAGTCTCTGTGAAGTCTGAAGATGCAAAGAATACCTCAGTAAAGATAATCATGAAGAATTTAAATAAAAGTGAAAACAATGAATATTTCTGATAGACGTCACTTGACGTAAGCGACTGATCTGATACTTCACTATAGGCTGTCACATGGGTGTTCGAATATAAAGCATTCAACAAGATGAAGTATTTACCCGATACTCCTTTCGACGAAAGATACTGGCATAAGACATCTCGAAGTCAAATGCCACTCTTAAGTCAAAAATACCTAATTAGTGTCGGACACCTGTAAGCCTGCCTGTGTTCCAGGATATTATAGAGGGTGAATATCTGATCGGTAAACTCGACCAGGTCTGAAACCCGCCTGGTTTTCTCAAGTTTTCTGTTCTTGAACTTCACTGAAAATTCTCATGATTATGGAATCTAGGGTCTTGGACACTTTTGTCAGACTGATTTGTTTGTGGTTATCACACCAAGACCCCTCTTATTATCAATGACTAGGGGCAGTTAATGACTGAAGTCAGTCATACAAAATCATATCCACTTCTTATAGTTCAGTCATTAGCCAGTAACTCTCACCCGCCATCCTTATATATCTGTGCAAGCCCACTAGAGCTTACCACTTCTTCCTTCCAGATTACTTACAACCTGCTAAGCTTCTGCGGAAGTTGCAAACCCTATATTGGTGTCCCATACAGGGTGCGATTGGATAGAAAGCAACTAAAGAGTATCCGGAGTTCAGTTGTTCAGAATGTCTAACCCCTCACTACAATCGTCTTCCCTGCGATTGAATTACGCACCCATTCTTTTCCTATATCGTCCAACTAAACACAAACATTTTCACCCGTTTTCTTGAGAAGTTTAGTTAACTGTCTACTGTTATCTATCACCATTACTTTCTCCATCTCTGCAGCCTACACTGCCCACCACTTCTCACAGTCACAGCGTAGACGCTTTGCGAGTTCACATGTGAGTTGCTTGGGTTAATAGCCTTACTTGGAGACTGAAAAAATGCGTTCACGATAACATAATGTAACTCACACTCCTTGTACATGTTTATTCACCAAGCTATGAGCCACACTAGTTGTTTGAGGACGATTGATGATACTACCCAGTTGACAAAACCTAAGTAGATGAGGCAGGATTCGACCCGGAGAACCATTACTTCAAAGTCGACTCCTTAATGCAATGAATGGGTTACGTGCAACTAGTATTTCAGAAGTTGTGGAGATCCACCCATTCTTTCTAAACCTTGTTTAGGGGTCAGTAACAATTTTTAACGCTGTTTTTTACAGGCGACCGGAAATAACATTACTAGAGTTTTTTTCAAGACGAGTAACGTTATCATATTCCAATAACCCGAAGTAACCTGAAAATCTTAAGCATTGAGCTGCGCCGCACTGAAAATCCTATTTAATGTATTTACTATAGGTTACTGTAGTTTGTCGTGAAATTCTACTCATTTTCTTCGTCATTTGATTTGTGGAAAACAGTGTAAAGTCTAGTTTCTAGTGATACGCTGTTCTCTCGTCTAAAAAAGAGATAGAGTTCTTGACATGTTTTTTTAAAGTGTGTTTCACGTAAGTGCAACCATGGTGATCTGTCGTATCCTACTTCTTTTTCCCCTCAATGGATTTTAAGTTATTGCTGCAAGCGTCTCACTTTTTGTTTATTAAAACTGATTTCCTTCTGTCTTCAAATACTAGTCTTAAATGTAGTGGTTACGAGCGCTATTTATGAAATGTAATCTTCATCCTTGTTAAAGAGATTTATACCTATTCATCTTGGTGACTCGCAGTGAAGTCCAAATTGACATATGTTTCGTCCTATTTGGGACCTACTCGTCAGCTGGATAGATATACCTGGACTCCAGTGAGTGATGTTGTTCCCTCGTGATCCTTGAACCCGGTATCTACCTCTTCAAACACCCACCAAGATGAATACAACATAGTGAATATTCGGCAGTATCGAGGCATCCGCATACAGGCCCATCTGCCGACAGAGGTCAGGCAATTCGACCCTGTATATTATTATTTCATATTTTATTTATCCCTTTTGTTCCTAAAGGAACAGTCTTTTGAACCTGCCTCCACAGCTGCGCAGAAACTTTCATTTATTCCTCACACCATCTCCTCCGTGTCACCCTCGGATGCCGAACTCGTCGTTTCCCCTTTGGATTCCACTCGAGGATCTAGCCTGACGCGTGATGTCCCCAAATGACCTTAGTGTACGCCCAATCCAATCCATCTCCACTTTCCTCTTCTGCATATTTCTCGGGCGATGAGTTCTTGGTTGGTTCGTTGACAGAGTTCCTTGTTGCTTATTCTTTCTGGCCTTCTGATTTGATATTCAGTATCGGGTGAGAGTAGGCAACAGCTGTTGATGAATGTCTGTAGTTTGTTGGAAATGCTTTTTGTGATGCACCAACTCTGTGAACCATCACAAAGAAGCACTGACTTGACTGGTGTTGTTGTTGTTGAAAATCCGTATCTTATTGTGTGTGATGAGTGTAGTAGATGTGCACACTGATTTGAGATTAGTGTATGAAGGCTTGTCTTACTGTGTTTCCGTTGTTGGCTGGCTTTGACTTCCTCATCTATGCCATCTAGATAGGTGGGTAAGTGAAAGAGACTTCCTTTAGATTTCTGTTGAATGAAGTTGATAAAGGCTTGTGGTATTAAAAGCGTAGTGTTGAAGCAGCTGCCAAATTGCTTCTCGGTCGACACTACTGAAGGCCTTTTGAAAGTCTACGAAGTCAAAGTAGGGAGTTGACTGTCATCCTATGCTCTGTTCTATGAGCATGCGTGGTGTAGCGTTGCAATTTGATCCGTACATGATTTGTTTTCTCTGAAACCAGCAGGCTGTTCCTGTCGTAATTTTGAATCCAGCGTGTCCTTTAGTTTCTCCAGGATGATACGGCTTAGTATTTTGCTTGGGGTGGACAACAGGAGCATGATTCCGCGCCAGTCCTTGCAAGGGCTTAGGTCTCCCTTCTTTTTGCCAGTTTGACAGGTACCTTTTTTTCCTTCCAAACTTTCTACAATAGCACCAGAAAATTACAAGTTTCAAACAAAAACGTATTTATGCTTGGTATATTCGACTGGAAATCGCTTTATTAGCTATCGTAGGTTATATCCTTTACTATTATTATTGTTACTGTTTGTTTTCTTTTCTTCATTTTTCTCACTTATAGGCAGCTAATATTGCATCGAACACCACTTCTGACAGTAGTAATACAAATTGTCTAACTAAATATCAGAATAACAAATCATTATTGACAAAACAAAAATCAAAACTTGAAACTATTTTGGAGAAACCAAATCTTCAGAAGGAGGCATTTTTCGATATTCCACTAACTATTCCACCACCGCCTCCATCACGTAATAATAATAATAATAATAATAGTCATAAGAAATCAACTCCTGGTCGTTTATTTGTATGCCCATTGTGTGGAGATAATGCTTTGTCTAGTCTTCGAGAAAGAGATGAACATCTACAATCTTCTCATAATGGTGAACTAGTTTTTCCTTGCCAGGTTTGAGCTTGTTTTATTATATAATCACTTATATGTATATATATGTGTGTATGTGTGTGTGTGTGTGTGCATGTGTGACTAGTTAATATCTGTAATTATGTTAAGTTTTCGTGTAGCGTTCTTGGTACACTCGGTTTATTTGTTTTGGTTTATTTACAGTCAATGATATGTATAATGTTTTAGTACAGTCGACTCCTTCTTCGCAAAGTTTGTCACAATAACCTTTCATAAATTTCCTTCTTACATGAAGAGCCTTCAATATCTTTAAAATACTATCTTTGACGTAGATTTCCATTCTAGAAGAGTAGATCTTTAAATATATTCAACAAAACCATCTCTTAATGTTTAGGTATACACCTTTCAGTTGACCTTTGTCTTACATCTGTTTACAATTGTATCCTTTTAAGTAAGCTAAAATACCTTTTTGAACTCATATGACTATTTCCCTCAAATCACTGACTGAATTTTTGTAAAATAACAACAATGAATTAATGATTTCCTTCAATGCCTTCAGTTTCAAAAACTAACAAGTTGATAGAAGAAGCAGTGAAAACGGGTCTTCAAGTGAATGTAGCGAAGACAGAGGTGATGAAGATACCCAACCAACAACAACAGCAACAAGCTCCAATCACCATCAATGGGAGAAACTTAAACGAAGTAGCCTCTTTCACCTATCTAGGCAGCACTGTCTCAACTACAGGTGGCACAGACGAGGACGTCAAAGCCAGCCAGGATTGGAATGATTGCAAGACAGGTGTTCATTAACCTGAAACCAGTGTGGAGATCTGCAGTGCACTCAGCATGTGGAACAACATCCGGAGTTCCAACACCGACGTCAAGTCAGTGCTTCTGTGTGATGATTGAGAGACTTGGCGTGTTACGAAAGGCATTTCCAAGAAACTACAAACATTCATGAACAACTGCCACCTACACTGGCTCGTTACTGAATATCAGATGGCCAGAATAATAAGAATAAGCACCAAGGAACTCTGACTGGCTGGCTGGCTGGCTGGCTGGCAACGAACCGACGAAGCAAGAATCTATCAGTGAAGAAATATGCAGTTGAATGAAATGGAGATGGATTGGATTGGATTGGGCATACACTGAGAATGCCGACTGAGGACATGACGCGCCAGGCGAGGCAGTCTAGTGGAACCGAGATGGGAAGCGAGGAGTTGGGTGTCCGAGATGAGGGTGAGGGTGAGGGTGAGATGGAGGAGATTGTGAGAGGAAGAAATGAGAGCTTGTGGGCTGTCGTGGAGCCAGGTTGAAAAGACTGCATAGAGGAGAGTGAAATGGTGACGTGCTACTGAAGCGGTATGTTCATTAGGAACCCAAGTGACAGTAATGATAAATTCAATTTGAAAGCATGATTGAACCATAACTAGCTTATCATGGTATGTCTGTTCTCCTTACTGACGACGCAATACCTTCGGTATACGCAAAACTTCATTTTTCAGGCCTAACAGATGAAAGAAGCTCAAAATAAGGTTACCTATATCTGAAGTAATTACAGAAGTGGTAATGTAGAGACTAGAGTCCTGAAACCATCAATTTTGTCCATAACTGGACTGAAAGTTTGGATCTGATGTATGGATGATACTTTTGTTATCAGTAGAAAGGGTGGATTCGAAAACGTTCATTATGGAGAAGGAGTCGAAGAACCTATTGCCATTCCCGGATGTTTTACTGAGTAGAAGCCATGCCGAAACTCAAGTGTACAGGAAGTCAATACACACTGATCAGCTACAGTAACAATAACCCAACAGCCTACAGAGTTGTTCTAAAATAGTGAGGACACATTACAGTGCAACAAATTCACGAAGAGACAAAGAAAATTACTTGATGTCTGTCCTAAAAAAGACCAGCGTTGCTCATGAAACTTTATCAGAAAATGCCCAACCTCAAAATCATCCACGGGAACCATCAAATGGGTCATCCTGTCGTAAACAATAAGACTACTGCGGCTATTTTGAATTGGTTTGGCTCATAAATCAACAAATTCCATTCAAATCATATTAGACAAACTAAAGGACGTCTGTTCATACCCTTCTTCGGCCAACAGAAAAAGATGGATTAGACATCCCATGATTATGGCAAACATTGATGACTCTCATAGACAGTTCAAAATAATATGCAAACAGAAGGTAGAACACAACTTTATTTCATTTACACTGGGTAATGATTGAAGGTGAAATAAAAATATGGACCTCGGTCGAATTCGAACCAGCGACCATGGGTGTCCGGTCAAGTGCTCTACCAACTACTCCACGAAGTGGTCGCTGGTTTGAATCCGGCCGCGGTCCAAATTCTCATTTTATCTTCATTCATCACCCCAGTATATAAACTTGTCTACCGAACGGCTAACAATAGAGACTGTGGTAGCTGAGTGTGTTGACTACTTCACTTACGTGGGAAGTGGGATCAACCCTGGTGCATTGGTCATTGGCCGATGAAATCTCTGCACGGATACAAAAAGCTCTACTGGCTTTTGCCAACTTACTCCACTTACTCCACTGGAACAAAAATAGGGTGGGTGGAGGTGTGATCCAACGAGGAGGGGGGTGAGAAAGAATAAATTACTATTTCCGTAAGATTCATATCTGAACATCAAATAATATACAATAATTCATGCTAATGGTGATAATAACAATAGTGATTATCATTTTGAGTATTTGAGATAGCCTTAGTTTCGCAGACCCATCCATCCAAATCAACGTAGGACAAGGCATTACTGCTTAAAGGTCCGAGTTCCCACACTTCATATCAGTACATCAAATAAAAAGGCAGTGAAGTGGAAAATGAAGATAAGAAAATTTACTCAAAAGAAGTATAAAGTACGAAAGGAGAGAAAAGGAGAATGGGAAAATGGCGAGATTCGGTGTAGTGTCGTTAGGATGAGGATAATATATGCATACATCTGCCCCCAACTGACATTGCTTCGCGGCCATATCACCTAGAGTCTCCAACCACTGGTTCCTCTTGTCCCGCAGACCCCAACCAGCTAGTCTCCATCGACCCACACGGCTCAAACCAACAGTCAAGAACTTCATACATTGGTGCCATGTTTTAGTCTGGTCACCTCGGGCCCTTTCCCAGCCCTGACCTGCTTCGGCCAGCATTGTGTGACGAGGCAATCAGTGACTAGGCATAAGTAATATGTGTCCCAACCATCTCAGTCGTTGAAGGTTCACAACCGTGTCAACTGACTCAACTGACCTCTTCTCCCTAAAACTCCACCGCTGACATTAGCATTACTCACCTGGTGACACCACGGAATACAGCCTATACTACGAAGGCAACGGTGGTCAAACACTTGAAACCTTCTCATATCTTCCACCTTCGATGTTCATGTTTCACAGCCATACAGTAGAGCAGAGCGGACTGCTGTGCAGTACATGCCACCCTTAATAGACAATCGGATGTCATGGCTGAAAGCTACAGTCAGGGACTTCATGTACTGATATCACGTCTTGGTGTGGTCACTCTGAGGTCTCTTCCAACCTAATTCAACTTTTCTTAACATGACAGGTCAAGGTAAGCGATGGCTCAGCATGCACAGTCCTTTGATATAGATAGTTGAATATCTTGTCAAGTTGGTGACACAGATGACAACTGCCAAATGAGTCATCTGTATTCGAGCTAAGCTTTCATCAGCAACTAGCCAGTTCAGTGTGGTAGGGACCAGTCATGGAGATTGAAATAGATTTGCAGTGAACCAGTTACGTAATGGAAAGGTATTTTTCTATCAAATTTTATACTCTTAGTAATATTCAGTTGTGTTATTTTTTTTTTCCTAAAATGTTAACATAGTTTCAAGTTGTTATTCATCGAAGACTGACATCAGTTGGAGGAACAAAGGAAACCTGGGAGCACTGGACAGCTGTTTCGTCCTAGTATGGGACTCCCACGACCCCACCAGCACTGTTGAGGAGTCCCATACTAGGACGAAACAGCTGTCCAGTGCTCCCAGGTTTCCTTTGTTCCTCCAACTGATGTCAGTCTTCGATGATTAACAACTTGAAATAATTCAAAATCTCCACAACCCCGCAAAATTTAATTAACATAGTTTGTTTATTTATTGTATTTTATACAGATCTGTGGAATGGCATATCCTCTTTATATTGCATTACGTCGACATGCTGCATTTCAACATGATTCTGATTTTGATACAGTTAGATATGGTCCATCTGATTTATTAGATTGTGAACCAATTGAATGTCCAGAATGTCAACTTGTTACTTTTCAAGATTCACTTGTACTTACACTTCATATAAATTTAGTTCATAAAAAACTACAACAAAATACAACATTGAATTCTACGAGTAATTCACAGACATTAACAACTACAGGTAAGCAATTGTATACATATTTATTTAGATTTCTAGTTAAGGTAAAGATTTTTTTTTTCATTGCTTTTCTCTTTTTTGTATTTCATACATTTCAGTTGCGTAACGTATAGAAGTGTCAGTGGAAGTGAGGATCAAGCCTTATGATACTCGTTGGTAGATTCGATAAAATAAACCTATTCTACAAGGATAAATATTCAAACAAGTTGAAATAACATACGATATCAGTGATGCTTATGGCTTATTTTTTATTGACTATATAAGTATCTTCTTGGTGTATTGATCACCGGATGTAGTAGAATCACTGTGTAAGTAATGTTCACATCAGGTGAAGGATACTAGACAAGAAAGGCAAATTGATTGATAAGGTTATGAAAGTTAATCAACTATAATGGCTTGGGCATGTATCTACGCATGTCAAGCCATCGCCTACCTCGACGTACTCTATATATACTAGGGAAAGTTGGAACTGTTTTCTCTTTCAGTTTTAGAATCTTCCCATTTAGATATTTAGAGAAAAGACTGATTAAGTGAATAAATGTATTGTCTTTCAATTACATCTTCGTCTTCGACTTTAACACTAATATTATATAGATTTATAATTCAATCAAAATACCAATCAAGTGGTAAGAGGTGAGGGTTGGTGAACAATAATTATCTATTGATACTGGGTAATGATTGAAGATGAAATGAAAATTTGGACAGCAGATGGATTCAAAACAGCAACTACTGAGGTTACGGACATGATGATCTACCAACTGAAATACAAGGTCCAACTAATGACTAGATTTTTATTTCACTTCAATCACAAGCGGCGTTTTTCTCAACTACCATGTCAACTCGTGATGCGTTACTATCACTGCTTGATGGTATTCACACACTGGCTACCTAGTCAAGACTTCTTATCCCAAACCAAATTTAACTGAATCAGAGAGACGGGGGGGGGGGGAGGAGAATCATATTCATTATCATTTTATGGTTTAGCAGACTAATATTTATAGATTGAGGTAGTGAGGATGATAAGTTTTAGAAATGAAGGTACGAATAATCAATAGAGTAATTAAAATTGGTAATATGAAGTAGGGTTAGGATTAGGTAACTGGAGTGATTTTTAATGAGTGTTCAGTCATAAACAATAGACAACTACTTAGTGATAAGAATAGAGATGAATATTGATAGAAACAAGAGGTAGGGTTGGGAAGAAGTGTACAAAATAATACTAGAAGTTACATCATTTTGACGGCCAAGGTAATGCAAGTAGCTCAAGTACATTCAGAAGTTTTTAGAGACAGTGATTATGAATTCGTTACTTATAATAAATAGGGTATTATTGAGGGAAACGAGAAGACAGAGACGAAGGAATGTTCATTACTTTGCACCACATTAGGAATTGATTCAGTTAGCATGATCCTCGAGTCTGTAGTCATTCAATGTCTCAGAGAAACCCAAAAAAACCTCGCCTCGGACGCCCAACTCATACCTTCCCATTCAGGTTCCACTCGAGGATCTAGCCTGACGTGTGATGTCTCCGAATGGTCTTCTCAGTGTATACCCGATCCAATCCAATCTATCTCCATTTTTTCCTCTTCTGCATATTTGTCGGGCGATGAGTTCTTGGTTGGTTCGTTGACAGAGTTCCTTGTTGCTTATTCTTTCTGGCCTTCTGATCTGATATTCAGTATCGGGTGAGAGTAGGCAACAGCTGTTGATGAATGTCTGTAGTTTGTTGGAAATGCTTTTTGTGATGCACCAACTCTGTGAACCATCACAAAGAAGCACTGACTTGACTGGTGTTGTTGTTGTTGAAAATCCGTATCTTATTGTGTGTGATGAGTGTAGTAGATGTGCACACTGATTTGAGATTAGTGTATGAAGGCTTGTCTTACTGTGTTTCCGTTGTTGGCTGGCTTTGACTTCCTCATCTATATCATCTAGGTAGGTGGATAGGTGAAAGAGACTTCCTTTAGATTTCTCCCGCTGATGGTGATTGGTGTTTCTCATTATCGGTTGGGCATCTTCATCGCCTCTGTCTTGTCTACGTTCACTTAACGGAAGTTCTATCATCACTACCTCTTCTGTCAACTCGTTGGTTTTCGCCTGCAGATCTTCGAGTTTGTGTGGCGAAATCCAAATCTTCTAGGCTGTTTTCATCGGCCAAACAGCTATTGCCCATCTTCTCGCTCCTCACAGTTTGTTGTATGATCCAGTCTAGTGCAGTCGACCGCAATCAGGAAGATGATCGGTGATGGTAGGTGGTGACGCTGTCGAAGGTCTTTTCAAAATTGGCTCAAATTGCCACACTTTGCAGAAGTGCATTAAGTGTAGGTGGATAGACAAGGAGTGATTATCAACAACAAGTGTTCTCAACCACTGATTAATTTCGTGTCGGGGACCCCAATCAGGCAGTCTACATCTCCTCACACAGCTCAAACCTACAGTCAAGGACTTCGTCGACTGGTATCAGGTCTTCGTCTGGCTAATGTTAACCCTTTTTTCATCCTAATCCAACTTCTTCCGGCATGGTACGTCGAGGAAGGCAGTGGCTTGGCATACGTAGTAAATGCCCCAAGCCATCTCAGTCGCCTAGCGTTCACAACTTCATCAATTGACTTGCCTAGTACCCTTCGTATGACGTGAACATTGCTCACATGATGATTTCACTACACACGAACAATGCCACGAAGACACCTATGATCGAAACCCTATAACCGTTTCATTCACAGGCGTACAACTGGACAGAATAGTATATTCATCCTTTGATAAATAGTCGGATATCTCGCAGGTGGACGCTATAGATGACGCTAGTTGGCAAATATCAAACGGGCCTTCTGTATCTATGCTGAGATTTCATCAGCAATCAGCCAGTTCTGGCTGATGGAACTTTCGAAGTAAAGTGAAATAGTCATCACTTTGCACCAATTCATTGTCTGTCATTAGGCCGGGTGTTGTCTTGATATGTGTTGTGATGAAAAGTGAAATGTATCAAAACGGAGATTATATGTACGTCAGGGATAATAATCTAGACAGGTACTTAGTAGACGATATTGAAATTATTCTGTTCGCTTCAGGTCTCAGTTTACTCTTTTTGAAAGTTCATACTAACTGCTCCTTAAGAATAACAGTCGAAGCTGATCACCACTCATTCTTCCATGTTCTTTATTCTTTATATGAAGGTAATATCTTGTGGTAATGACTCCTTTCTTGTTCTCGTTTCTCCTCTGGGGAATCCCCTCATGACCCCATTTTATATCTTCTGTTTTATACTACTTAGTATTTTTGAGTAGTAGTATAGTTCATTTTACCTTTTAGTGTTGCTTCATCTACATCCTTGACTTTTCATTCTGTTCAGTCTTATCTTGTTAACTATTCAACATCCGTAGATATTAGTACCTTTCACAGTTTATGATGGTGTTGTAATTTTTTCGTTGTTCTTTGATGTTCTACTTTATCCTGCATCTTTACCTCATCGTGAAAACTTATTCTCGTCTCTTCAGATAAATCCTGTTTTTTTTGGATTTTATGCATAAAAATCGCTAGGGTACCTTAAATCCTTTTGTTTTTTGTTTTGCTATCCACTAGATAGTGGTCTGAACTTGCACCTGCTCCTCTTCGTGACCTTGTGTCAAGTAGACTGCGTCTCCACTTTCTTGAGATTAAGTCGATCTGAATTTTAGTGTATCCATCTGGTGAAATCGAATCCATGTCGCTTTGTGGATATCCTTGTGCTTGAATACAGTGCCTCCCTCCAATCACCAAATCATTGAATGCACAGAGTTCTGCAAACAATTCTCCATTCTCGTTCATCACCTCACCGAGCGCTTCTCGACCCATGGTTAGTTCTCTTCCTGTGTTGTCCCCTCCCAGTTTGGCATTCATGTAGCCCATTAGAATTTTGATATCGCCAACTGAGGTGGTGTCTTGTCCAGTGTTGATTGAAGTTGTCAGTAGAATTCTTTCTTCTTCTCCTGATCTCCATTATTTGAAGGTGCATAGCGTAGCATTGTATGATTGTGACCTTCCTTCCTTTTGAGTTGAATCTTGCTGTCATGATCCTGGAGGAGATTGGTTCCCACTGCATGAGAGCCTTCGATACTCTTGAGGACATCATGATAACCACTCCCTCAATGTGCTCGTGGTTGTCGTCTGGGTGACAGTGTCGGAGTAGATTATTGACTCTCCAGTTGAGAGTTTGGAGAGTCCACTTCCATTCCATCTACTTTCGCAGATTCCAAGCACTTCTATACCATACCTTCTCATCTCTTTTGCAATCTGCGCAGCCTTGATAGGTTCATATATAGTGCGGACATTCCATGTCCCCACGTTTACTTTCGCTGTCATCGAGAGAAGATATATCGGTGAGTTGGGTCCCCGAAGGTTTTCACCAACCGGCGTGATTTCGTGTCTCCGATTCGAGTGAGGAATAAGTTAACTTTTATGTTTTGTATTTTGTTTGTGCTATGAAGTTTTTTAGCGGTTGGATTTGTTTTACGAGGTAGGGTTGCTATCCCTATACCCAACCTTTCCTGTTTACCTGGGCTTAGGATCGGTTAGTAACTAGTGAACTAGTTAACCAAGTGAGGAACCCAAGGGACTAATAATAATAATTTTGAGTACCTAAAATATTTAGTAGTAATTATTACAAAAAACATTTTCCTCTTCAATTTTTTAGTTATTTGTTTTATTGTTTATTATAGATTTAAAGGTGAAACCAAAATCTAAAATTAACAAGACGAAAATTGATTCAATTCAAAAAAAGACTGGTAATATACGTCGTCGAGATACTACTTCTAATCGTTCACGTGTTCAATCAAAAAATTCCAAGACAAAATTGAAACTTTCTATGATTGGTGAACTTGAAATTCATAATGATCCTGGGATACATTCAAACAGTATACAAACTATTAGTGAATTTGAGCGTACAATAAGCAGTATTAGTGGTGCTCCAGCTTCAGCATGCTGTCGATACTGTCGTATGGAAGTTGATAATGCTAAAGAACTACGATTACATTTAGAACTAGTAGGTGATGGTTATAAAGTAACAGTATTATTATTTATCATTATGATCATATTATAATTCCCTAGTGTTATAGTAGGGATTAGCGTATTATATGTTTCCTATTGTATTTTATTTTAACCGCCTTACCCTTCTAAACACTAAGTAGGTAATACTGTAAATCCACTCTCAGTTGAAATGTTGACTGGAAGCGTGTAGGCGGTTGGCACTTCTCAGCTGCCAACGTCATAGAAGCCTATTTCTTCCTAAAGTACCTGAAAGAGAAAAAAGATTTATGTTACCACAAAGTCCATAGGACATCTGCTTGAAGCCTATCACATACAGCCTTTTGTAGGTTTGAATTTTTTACCGCGGGATAAAGGGAATCCATACCACCAGCACCAGAAGACTTGTGGGGTATGGTGGAGTGTGTTATTTTTCGAACCGAACTTTTCTAACCATCCCCTCTCCCTTTGAGAAGGCTAGCAGCAGGAAGACTTTTTCCCTAAACCCCCCATCATAGTGTTGTAAGTTACACTGCAACGATGACTACTTTTCCTCTTACCACTGTCCAACAGACCTTTCTGGTATGATAGGACATTGAGGGAACAAGCCACCCACCAGCATAACTCGTTGGATCATTGTGATGCGCAAGCCTGATCCCCTAGGTCAAGGTTGCATCTATCGACCAGGTAATGAATCCTGTAAGTTTTGTATAGATTTTAGTACTAGGCGTCCTCGGAATGGCCATTGAGAAACTTTGACAATTTGTATTTGTTAGGTTGGGATTCATCATAGACTGACATCAGTTAAAAAAAGGTTGAGAATCTGGGACTCCCCAGAAGCGCACACCCACGACCCCCGCCCCACCAGCGATCAAACCCATGGCCTTCAGGTTCCACGGTCAGCATGTTACCGTTGAGGCATTGGGTGGGAATCCAGTGGTCAATATTTCCAACTTGTGTCAGTTCATGACATAGTGCGATCATCATTCAATGTCATTGTTGAGTATTTCTCCTCACTTCCACCAGGTTTGTCCCACCGGTCACGACTTCTTTGAAACTAGTCACCAATGCTCTGCTGAGGAGTCCTATGCTAGTTGGACGAAACAGCTATCCAGTACTTTCAGGTTTCGAATGTCCCTCCAGCTAATGTCAGCAGTCCATGATGAATACCAACTTGAGAAATCTTTACAGACACCTAAGTGTCCATAGTCTTCCCACTTAGCAACAAGAAAGCCAAGGAAAGGTAGGTGCTCCTTATCCATTTTTTTTTCTGAGCTGAATAGTGAAACATCAGTGGATGCTACTGATCAGAATGGATATAAGTAGTATATGTTGAGAGGTTGGTAGAAATCGTAGGCATTTACCAACAATGGGTAATTATTCTGCCCAGAGATACGCAGGAAACATCTTGGGCGTATTCAGAGCAAATCAAGATAGTAGAAGAAGAGGAAATGAAGCATAGTGTGTAGAAGGTGCACCACATTTAACAACTACTGTACAAGATGTCAATAATAAATATTTTTTCGTTCGTCACGGTCTTGTCGTCTCTTAACATACAACTACCAAAAGTAAACAGCAGTATATATATATATATATATATATATATATATATATATATATATATATATACTGCACAGCAGTTCGCTCTGTCCTACTGTGTGGTTGTGAAACATGGCTATCGAGGGTGGAAGACATGAGAAGGCTTGAGGTGTTTAACCACCGTTGCCTTTGAAGTATAGGCCGTATTCCATGGTGAGTAATGCAGAAGTGAGGTGTAGAGTTTTAGGGAGGAAGAAGAAGTAAATCAGTTGACATAGTTATGAAGCTTTATCAACTCAAGTGTGTGGGACATATGTTATGTATGTGCAACCACGATGTGGTTCATCACCTAATGTTGAGGGAAGTAGGTTCAGGTTAGGAAAAGGCTCTAGGTGTCGAGACTAAAGTATAGCATGAAGGTGTGAAGTGTTTGACTGTTGTTTTGAGTTATGTGGGGTGATGCAGATTAGGCGGTTGGGGTTGGGGTTGGGGGTGGGTTGGGGGACAAGAGAAACCAGTGATTGGCGAGTGACTGTAGGTGATATGGGTGGGAAGCGATGTCAGTTGGGGGGTGGATGTATCCCCACACACATTATCGTCATCTTAACTAGTGTGTACCGAATTTCAGCATTTTCACATTCCTCCTTTGTCTCTTTTAGTATTGCATGTTTCTCGTGACTGAATTTTCTTATCTTCATCTTGTAGTTTACTTCCTTTTTACTTGATGTAATGATATGATGTGTTGCTATTTGGAGCGTTGTGCAGTAATGTCTGGTCGTATGTTAGTATTTATGTTGATGATAATGGTGATGGCGATCATGAGGATAGGGAGGAGGGAACAGTCAGTTGATGCGATTGTAAACCTTCATCGATTGAGATGGCTGCACAATGTTGGCTGAAGTAGGTTCAGGGTGGAAAAAGGCTCAGGGTGGCCATACTAAAACATGACATCAATACATGAAGTTTTTAAGTGTTCGTCAGAGTCATGTAGGGTGGTACAGACTAGACGGTTAGGGTCCACATCAACGGAGAAACCAGTGGTTGGAGAATCTAGGTGATACGTCTCACAACTGATGCCGATGATGCAGTTGCATACACACACTATCCTCATTCTAAGCGTTACATTTAATCGCTTGTTTCTTCCCCATTCTTTGCTCCTCTATTTTGCTACGTTCTACTTCTACTTTCCTCTGACTGATTTTTCTTTCTTTCTTCATCTTTCACTTCATTGCCTTTTTACTTCATGTAATGATATGATGTGTGGCAATTTGGGCCATTACTCAGTAATACCTGGTCCTGTGTTGATGGTGATGATATATATATATATATATATATATATATATATATATATATATATATATATATATATATATAGATAGATAGATAGATAGATAGATAGATAGATAGATAGATAGATAGATAGATAGATAGATAGATAGATAGATAGATAGATAGATAGATAGATAGATAGATAGATAGATAGATAGATAGATAGATAGATAGATAGATAGATAGATAGATAGATAGATAGATAGATAGATAGATAGATAGATAGATAGATAGATAGATAGATAGATAGATAGATAGATAGATAGATAGATAGATAGATAGATAGATAGATAGATAGATAGATAGATAGATAGATAGATAGATAGATAGATAGATAGATAGATAGATAGATAGATAGATAGATAGATAGATAGATAGATAGATAGATAGATAGATAGATAGATAGATAGATAGATAGATAGATAGATAGATAGATAGATAGATAGATAGATAGATAGATAGATAGATAGATAGATAGATAGATAGATAGATAGATAGATAGATAGATAGATAGATAGATAGATAGATAGATAGATAGATAGATAGATAGATAGATAGATAGATAGATAGATAGATAGATAGATAGATAGATAGATAGATAGATAGATAGATAGATAGATAGATAGATAGATAGATAGATAGATAGATAGATAGATAGATAGATAGATAGATAGATAGATAGATAGATAGATAGATAGATAGATAGATAGATAGATAGATAGATAGATAGATAGATAGATAGATAGATAGATAGATAGATAGATAGATAGATAGATAGATAGATAGATAGATAGATAGATAGATAGATAGATAGATAGATAGATAGATAGATAGATAGATAGATAGATAGATAGATAGATAGATAGATAGATAGATAGATAGATAGATAGATAGATAGATAGATAGATAGATAGATAGATAGATAGATAGATAGATAGATAGATAGATAGATAGATAGATAGATAGATAGATAGATAGATAGATAGATAGATAGATAGATAGATAGATAGATAGATAGATAGATAGATAGATAGATAGATAGATAGATAGATAGATAGATAGATAGATAGATAGATAGATAGATAGATAGATAGATAGATAGATAGATAGATAGATAGATAGATAGATAGATAGATAGATAGATAGATAGATAGATAGATAGATAGATAGATAGATAGATAGATAGATAGATAGATAGATAGATAGATAGATAGATAGATAGATAGATAGATAGATAGATAGATAGATAGATAGATAGATAGATAGATAGATAGATAGATAGATAGATAGATAGATAGATAGATAGATAGGCGCAAATTTTGTAGTTGATAGAGCTACACATTCTTATTACTTATTTGTTTGTGTTTTAAAATTTTATTTCAGGAACATTTGAATCCGGACATAGATATTGAACAACTTGGTTGTCAAGCATGCGGTAGAGTTTTTTTGGATCAGGTGGTCGAATTGACTTAATTGGACATTTACGTACACTTCATCAAGATGATTATCTTCAAAATATTCTAAAATGTCCTCTTGTCGATAAGTTAGGGCAAGATAATAATAATAATAATAATAATAATAATAATAATAATAATAATAATAATAATAATAATAATAATAATAATGAAGAGACTGTTAGTCATTATTCTACAAAATTGTGTAAAGCTCACTTCTCATCACCTCGTCTACGTCAACTGCATGTATCTGTTACAACTAATCCTAATTTATCAAATCATGGATTCAATTGTCCTATTCTCTTCGATGATAAAGAATCATCTTGTGATCAAATGAAAAAGTTAATTCTTCATACTGAAATTGTAGCTGATCGAAGTGGTTTAATGATTTTAGCATTTTGTTGCCCTAATTGTTCACGTTTATTTGTTGGAGATGATGTTCATACTAGGTGAGTTTTTTTTTACCTTTGAAAATAAATTATATTTGTACATATGTTGCCGATTGTCTGTGATATGCTTCTTCTTCTATTATTCTCTTCGCTTCCACCTTTCTTCTTTCTGTTTTCTTACTTTTCTTCGTCTTACTCCCGTTTTTCTACTCCTCCTTTCCACCGTTCTTATTATCATTCCGCTTCTCCTTGTTCTTCTCATCCTCCTTATGCTCATTTCCATCTTTCTTCCATCCTTCTCTTGGTTCTTCTTTCCCCTCTTCTTCTTTCTCCCCTTTCGCAATCTTCTTCTCCTTTTTCTTCGAGTGTTCAGATGATACTCGTTTTAGATGAAAGCACTGGTAATAAACATTTTTCCTAGCTAGCCTAGACAACAAAATCGTAAAGGTTAATGTTATTTGACCACTGTTGTCGATATAGGAGAGGGGAATGACTAAATGAGCGTTATATTACGGTGTCAGCTTCATAGGATTTCTTCCGTATTCTGGAATCGTCATAAGAGAAATGTTCAGGTTAAGAGAAGTGTACTAGTTAAGTATGAGATGGTTAACCTGCGTCAAGTGAGGTGGCTTGGGGATATCAAACCACTCACTGCCTACCTTATTGTAGCCAGAACAAGACTTGATATATGTTGATAAAATCTCTAAAAGCTGATCTTTACCATGTAGGGAGTTGGAGACTAACCTTGCTGAGATCTTCAAGACGATAAGAATCATGTCTTTTAAAACTTGAATATGTACACTAACTTTTATCTTCAAATTATTTGTTCTCTCATACACTTTTCTATCCACTTTATTCCTTGGATGCTGCTATGAAGTATGACATGATAAAGTTGTATGCGAGGTTGATCGAGGATGTCAGGTTTCAACAACTAATGCAGTTGGCAAATGTCTTGACCCCAAGCATAGTCACTGTTTACTTCAAACAATAATGTTAGATTAATTGTCTAACAAGAAATCTTAAAGTGGCTAGAATAAAACTTTGCATCAATCTATTGAAATCTTTTTTTAAGCTAAAACCTAGCTGTAAAAATTCTATTTTAGTCTGTTCATTAGAAATATCACACAGTGAAGGGATAGTAGCACTTACTGGATAACAATCTTTCGGACATAATCTATTGTCCAAATTCATATCAGGTAAATAACTCCACAACTTCGAGACAGACTTTATATAGTCTTAATTACCTCTCCTTCTCTGTGATGACAAGGATAGTAGAATTTTCCAGATATCTGGGACAGGTGTAGAATCGTTCCTATTACTCCATGTATTTAGCGTTGATTCGATAAACAGAGATTCAGTCAGGTATCAATCTCTCCCTCCCTCCACCCAACTAAGTTAATTTTCAATACTGTCACTCTATCCCACTCAACTGTGTGAATAATTGTGTGTAACTGCATGCAGAGATATAGCCGGAGATTTGTTTCTAAATGTCTTATCATCTTGATTTAGCTAAGTTTTTGTGCTTTGTTATTCTAATCGACCCTGTTCGACTGCTTTTACCTATGTACTTGACCTCGCAACCATTGCAAGGAAATAGGTGGGCCAGATTATTTTGCTTAATTGCATCGATAGGATCGTTTAACTTACAAAGCTTGTTACTGAGCCAGTTTTTGGTTTAAATGCTACTTCAATCTCAGCCAGCCATATTGAGAATTCTTCGTGATGCTTCTGAGGAAGGAAAGTACCTCAGAAGCAATGTCTTATGGCTCTTGAGAATTTCTTATAGACTGTAGGATGATTGCTGTTTTATTTTTTGAATGTGTGTGGTTTTCCTGTGTACTTGAGTTTGTAAAGTCCTATTGTGTTCTATTGAGGATGAGGATATCTTTGTTGTTCAATACTTTCTCCTTTTGGAAGTGAATTACTTCAAATGTTTGGTTGATTAGTTCGAAAGTATATTCTCTTACATCCTCTTTGAGAACTACAAATTGTCAACGTACCAAGTCCTAATTTTTGGCTTGATCCCAGCCGCTGCACTACAACTTCAGCAATCAATCTGGATATTGGGTCGTGTGTACTGTACAGCAGTCCTCTCTGTCCTACTGTGTGGTTGTGAAACATGGCTATCGAAGGTGGAAGACATGAGAAGGCTTGAGGTGTTTAACCACCGTTGCCTTTGAAGTATAGGCCGTATTCCATGGTGAGTAATACACAAGTATAAGTGAGGTGTAGAGTTTTAGGGAGGAAGAAGAAGTAAATCAGTTGACATGGTTATGAAGCTTTATCAACTCAAGTGGGTGGGACATATGTTATGTATGTGCAACCACGATGTGGCTCATCACCTAATGTTGAGCGAAGTAGGTTCAGGTTGGGAAAAGGCTCGAGGTGTCGAGACTAAAGTATGGCATGAAGGTGTGAAGTGTTTGACTGTTGTTTTGAGTGATGTGGGGTGATGCAGATTAGGCGGTTGGGGTTGGGGTTGGGGGTGGGTTGGGGGACAAGAGAAACCAGTGATTGGCGAGTGACTGTAGGTGATATGGGTGGGAAGCGATGTTAGTTGGGGGGTGGATGTATCCCCACACACATTATCGTCATCTTAACTAGTGTGTGCCGAATTTCAGCATTTTCACATTCCTCCTTTGTCTGTTTTAGTATTGCATGTTTCTTGTGACTGAATTTTCTTATCTTCATCTTGTAGTTTACTTCCTTTTTACTTGATGTAATGATATGAGGTGTTGCTATTTGGACGGTTGTGCAGTAATGTCTGGTCGTATGTTAATATTGCTATTGATGATGATGATGATGATGGATATTAGCGATCCCGTTGGGAGACACCTATGGATATGGACCGATGATACTCTACCCTAACTTTCTCCACCTGTCTTATCTTCCTCTACTATGTTTAAATTCTTTTGTTTATCCTCTTGTTCTCGTTGAAGGTGTGATGACAACTTGATACTTTCGTTCAAGCCTGTTTCGCTTTGTCGGTTTGTTCAGCTGTCATTTTTTCCATTGGGGATTTCTTAGAAAACTTTGTATAGTGGCTTTTCATCATCGTCAGTACTAGTTATTCCTCAACAGTAACAATGTTCATCCTCTTATAGGATAGGAGTATAGTGAGCGGCATTCAATCTCTTCCAAGGCCATCTACCACTTAAAAACAATTAGTTTCTTTTATAAATTTTAATAGGATAATTAGAAGACAAAGGTCTTCTGAACAATGTAAGCCATTTGCGAAACATATTTTGAATTTTTTGACCAACTTAGGTGAAACTAAAATGCTAAGGGGATAAGTAGAACAGTTATGTTAATAGGGAATTAAAACTAACAATGATATCTTGGATCCTGATCTTGATAAGAAAACAAAATTTAGAAAGGGTGTAGGTGTAGCACAAGAACGAATTTCTTTGTATATACAGAAGGTTGGTTTCAATTTCTGTATGGAGAATTGACAAAAGACAATTCAGTGAAGAGAATTTTCTTTTCGACGAGTCATTTTCTTCTAAAGCTGTACAACTGTAATCATAGGTATAGGCTATATATATCCATTAGTTGCAAATAGGCCAGCTAAAGGTCATCAGAAACGGTCAATAAAGTCACAAGGTGATAACACCAAGAAGGTCAACTCAAGGTCATCAAAATGTCTTGATAAGATTATGACCAAGGTAAGATTAAAAATTGAATATATTTCCTATTGAAAACAAAGATTGGGCTCAAACCGGTAGATTTTCAAAGTTTCTGGTATGTGTTATGGTAGCGAATACACACCCGTTTTGAAATATTCTGGTAGAGTAAGATGTCCAGCGTTAACCAAATACTCAAGAATCGAGTTGGTAATAGTTTTACACTCTTCTTTAGACAGTTATGTAAGATAGTGTTTAGGGATAGATTTGGATAGAACACGTTTTGTACGGTTTATGTAACCAACTGGTGAATTTGTGGACACACATCAAAGTGACCCAAAGCCACTAGTTTATTCTTTACACACCCCCTTGAATAAGCTGTTGGCTAGAGAAAACAATTCGAAACTGATTATCACTCATACAAATCTCAGAATCCACCCCGTGATTGTTCTCATATAAAACTTGGAAACCTGCTTGAACATTAATTCTGTGACCATTTCTCATAGTATGTCTGACTATATATGGATGAGGCGGAGGGAGGGTTGTATCCCAAGGTATCACACTGGTTTAAAGTCATTCAGTTACGTCGTGTTCTTCCACTATTGTTCAGGACTGTCGTTAACATTCTGTGTGATTAATTATATATCCTTTCATCATCAAGATCAACATAAGACCAGGCATTACTGCGTAACGGTCCAACCGACCACACTTCGTATCAGCACATCTAGGAACAAAGCAAGACAAATTGATCAGAAGAAGTAGAAAGTAGTCAAAGGGAAGAAGGAGGAATGAGAAACTGATGAAAGTAAGTGTAGCGGTTAACGTGAGGATAATGCGTGCATACATCTGCACCACTGACACCGGTTCTGAGCCACACCATCTAGAGTCAATCTCCAACCACTGGTTTCTTTGTCCCGCCGACCCCAACCGGCTACTCTGCATCGCTTCTACATGGCTCAAACTAGCAGTGAAGGACTTCATGTTTTATTATGGCCGCCCCGAGCATTTTCCAGCCTGAACCTGCTTCGACCAACATTGTGTGACGATCCAGACGGTGGTTAGGCATACGTAACATACGTCCCAGGTACTTGAGTTGATGAAGGTTCACAACCGCATCAGCTGACTCATCTCTCCTCCCTTCCTAAAACTCTGCGGCATTCACGTGATGACACCACGAAACACGGGCTATGCTACGAAGGTAACAATGGTCAAATACCTGAAGCCTACTCATGTCTTCCTACCTTTAACAGCCGTGTTTCACAGTTAGAGAGTAGAATAAAACGGACTGCAGCACAGTACACTCAACCTTTAATAGTCAACTGGATTTTGCGACGGTGCCACAGATAGCGTAAGTTGACAGAAACCAATGCAGCCTTTTGTCTTTGTACGGAGATTTCGTCACCCACTAAATCACTAGGGCTGATCTGACTTCACAGGTAAGTGAAGTGTTGAACATACTCACCCACTTCACTCTTTATGTGTTAATCATGGTATCGTTAAAGACTCATCCTGGAGCAACAATTTTTTGCTTTTGGGTGGCAAGAAACGCATCCCAAACATTCTCAAATTGCGGATAATGTCCACTTCACGCTAGATGGTGAACACTTTTGACAAGTGGATAGTGTATAAGTTTTGAAAAGTCCCCTAATCGAATGAGAGGTAATATGTTGTTATCTATTACTGTTATCTTCTTATACATTCTGTGTAATTACTGTAATATGTTAGCAATTTTTGTAAATTACTTTCCTTTCTCTACTTCAGATTTGAATCTCATCGTAGTTTATGCGAAGCAATTGATAATACAGAAGAGTTAATACATCATATTGAATCAGATCCTGGTGTGTCTAGCGCAGACAGTACTACTGAAGCTTCAGAGGTACGTTGTCCAAATGTTGAATCATCTTTAGAATTTTCTGATACTGTTAAAACATCCAATGAATGTCCTTGCGAAAGTTAAGCTACTTGTGACACACACACATATACACACTTTACTGATATACTTTTAACAACACCTCGATGTATATTTTCTTATATCATCTCTGTTTACTAATATCATTATTGGTATTTAAATGAGCATTATTACCATTATTATTATTATTATTATTATTATTATTATTATTATTATTATTATTATTATTATTATTATTATTATTATTATTATTATTGACATTGTCGTATTCGCCTAGACTTTATTCGGGTATATAAATACATATTTACATGTCTTATCATATATATTCAATCGTATAGTGCTTGACAGATTATTTTAGGAAGATTTTTACCCATACCTCTGTACAATACTTTTTTTACCATATATATATACGCCCCAATTGATAATAATCATATTAATAATAGTAAAGATGTATTTTATGCTGCCTAATCTAGGACTACTTTGTATAACTTAGGGTAGGTTCGATTATTCTAGTCGTCAATCTCTAAAACCTAGATCTGATTTGATGTCAAGTATTCTCAAAGGAAAATGACTGTAGGCTGATTTATTTCTGTCCAACAGGTATATTAATTCTTATACTGATTACAAATAAAACTGATAGTTTGTCTTTCAGGTCTAAAATACAGAAATTGAATACTTTACCAATAAATTTTCGTTTTTCAATTGTATCTCTGAGTCATTTCCTGGATGACTTTTGATGAGAGAATGTCAGTTGATAAACAGTTCGATATTGAACTTCTAGTTATCCATGTTTACTAAAGTCAAGGTTATATGAAGCCGTCAGTAAGTCTACAGGGTGGAGAAACGTACAATCTATTGATTTCTGAGTGAATTATATAATCCAAAAAAAGTGTGTACAGTATCATTTCACCATTCTATCTGCCTTTGTACTTTTCTCATCTCATTTTTAGTTACTTACTTTGTATTGCCGCTTTTATCATGATTTATTTGTTGAAGGGTTCTACCTACTAAGAAACATCCAACCAGCTTTATGTGGGACAAGAATTCTTTTCTTTTCAAATTCTAGGGTTTTCTAATTAATTTTACCACCTTATGGATTCCAGTGTAATCGTTTTTTGGATTTAGAATCATTTTTTTTATTCTGTTTCTAATGTTACAATCTCAGTTTGTGAGACTACTTTAGGTACAATTGTACACTTATTAATACTAGGTAGATTTCTCGACCCAAAGGTAGCGTTAGATTCCATCCACCGAGAAGTCTTATGGTATTGTCTCTCATTGAAACAGGTATCGAATAAGTACAACACACTTTTAAAGACTGTTTACTTGAGCATATGTGATCGTCTTACAGCCTATGGCAAATTGTGTACATCGAGCGGTGTCCGACAAGAATGTCCTCTACTACTCAATTTTATCATAGACTTTCGTGTGGACACTTTAAGTGAAGGTATGAGAATGCTTGGGATGCGTTTCTGGCCATCCAAATGCAAATTGTTGCTCCAGAAGTCATCTTCTGCGGTTCCCCCGCTCACAATGGAGAATAGAGTTATTGAGTATGTTGAACACTGCACTTACCTGGAACGTTGGACCAACCCTAGTGGGTTAGTAACCAACGAAACCTCTGCAAAAGGCTAGATTGACTTTAGCTAACTGTGGTGCTGCCGCGATTGTCAATTAAGGCCTGAGTGTACTGTGCTGAAGTTCACTGTGTTCCACTTTATTGCTGTAAAACATGGCTATTTAAGGCAGCGGGCTTGTGGCGTTTGACCTTCATAGGACAGACCAGGTGTCATGGTGTCATCATATCCGTAACATAGAAGTCAGGTATAGAGTTTTAAGGAAGGGAGGAAAGTTAGTTGATTTTGTCGCGAGCCTTCATCTGCTAAGATGGCTGAAACATATGTTGCGCATGCTTAGTCACCGACTGCAACCTCGCGCCATGTTAGCTGAAGCGATCAAGTCAGAGAATGGCATCACTACATGAAGTCTTTGACTGTTGGTCTGAGCCATGTAAGAGGATACAGACCAGTCGATTTGGATCCTTGTGACAACAGAAACCAGTGATTGGCGATTCTAGGTGACACGGCTCGTAATCGATGTCAGTGGCACAGATGTTTACACACTTTATCTTCAGCGTAGCCTCCATATCGAATTCCGCATTTCCTCGTTTCTCTCTTTCACTACTTCCTACTGCTTCTGACTTGTTATACTGATATGAGGTAAGGCGACTTGGAGTATTCCGCAATAATGCCTGGTCCTATGCTAACATTAAAGATGATAATCGATTGAGAAGGAGAGTTTTTTCCCATGGATTTTTTCTAAGACCCACAATATACCGAATAATATTTACATGGGAATAAAACTTGTGGTCTGTGTGCATATTTATGTATGTAAGAAAGAGAAGGAGTAACAAACAAATCCGACAAGATGATGATTATTTAAGGTTAAAAAAAGTTTGGTCTTCAACCAAATTTCGAGTCATGTTTCACATACCTTTGCTTCTCTTTTAGCGTTCTCCATCTTTTGAGCTGCGCTTTTATGAATCAGCTCTCGTCATTGCAATTCACCTGGTCAACTAGAGTTTCTGATCATATACTGTATCGATGTTGTTTAATCAGATTGAGCCCACTCCCTGTGAACTGGTAATAGTTTGTACCATATCAGCACGTCTAGACTGCGTTAGTTTCATAGATGAATGATTATCTGAATTCCGTTATCATTCAGTGAAACACAATTGTAATGGCGTCGCTATGATATGCCGCTCAGATATAAAATATGCTTTATGTTAGAGTCAGCTCGTCTGAAGTTTAGGCTGCTGTTACTAAGCGAATATCCACATCTACCGGTTATATAATCCTTCTCAGAGACTGTTTGAGACATGTAAGTTGCTAGCGTGAAGGTTTAGCGGATGATAATACAACAAATCTTAGTTGTCAGGCTTTTACAGGTACGTTATGGAGCTTTAGCTCATTACCTGATGCATTGATGTGGACAAAATGGTTGAGTGCTTGCATTCACAGTTAGGCGTAAACTACTTGCCTGTTCTCAACGATAAAAAACATTATTGTTTCCAAATCTAACTTGAGTTTTCTAGCTAGATGTACAGTATATTACACTCCCATTAGCTTCTTTTTGATGAAGATATAAAGGTTAGTCATAACATCAGCTTGGTTTCTCATTTTCCCGTGTAACAGAATGCAGTATCGCCAACTTACTCAACTGAAAGTTGCCACCATGATATAGTGATTAGGCTAGCACACCACAATGACTGAGCTGGATACACTAGTTGGGACATCTGTTGTTTTGTGAGGGATTGCCAAGTCAAGAATGTCCGTTGAATTAATGATACGACGAAGGTGTTATATCTTCTGTTACCAACTGTTCTGAACGGTTACAATGCACACGCCTAACTGACAGTTAACTTCGTACGCATGAGCCAGTGACTGCAACTCGAGATGAATAGACAGAAGACCGAAGCTAAATGATAGGAGAGTTTATTCCTCCGAGAATATAATGATCAATCAATCCAAAAACACGTGAGTATGTATACTACATGAAATATGACCTTGTCCGCAATTGGAGATATCGGCTTAGTCAGAGTAAAGATTAACCAATCAGCGAATTACATCACGATGGGGGTGGGGGCAGAAAGTAGACTACTAGTCATACCGTAAAAATGATATGAGAATGCCAAGTTAAAAATGTTCAGATCAGTAATAATGTTTTATGCAAAACTGAGGCCTCACAACAGAAGGACAGGTACCGTTATAGCATAGATTTATACACTATAGCAGGGGGTTCGAGGGAGAAGTCATACTGGTGACTGGATAGAAATTTGACAACAGAAAAATATTCTCCGCGGATAGATGACCAGCATTATCATACACTAATGCTACCTTCCTAATAGAGGAACAAGAGAGTAGGAAAGGTTAGCCTAAAAGGTAGCACACGCCTTGCCCTGCGGTATGACTATTTCTCGTCCAATTGCATCATAGCCAAATCTCAATCTGATGTTTACAAAGGCCGTGTATAACTGGCCTGAAGCAAATGTTCCATGGGTCCAACGACCACTCATATCTATTGCTTAGCTGCAGAAACAAATCCCACTGTGTGGACAGCCAGGAAGAAACAACTGACTTCACACTCCCGGCAGTATACAAAATACAACAAACCGTAATCAATCCTTCTTAACGTTATCTCCTCTCTTAACTTCAATTCTTGATATCAAGAGGATAAATGTTATTGTCACAACCATAAAGGGATCAGTTCAATTTATACTGTGTACGAGATCCTAGGCTCTATAGAGATCCGAAACCTAACTGCAGCTTGAGAATAGCTAAACTAGAGAAAAAAGGAAGTTCCAGACCTGGGCGAGCCTTCGTCGATCATATTTTCACACTCCGACAGGTCCTGCAACACAGACATACTGGCAATTAAAACTTGCCATTTAGTATAAGGGTTTTTATATGGTACCGTCGTTAATTGGACCGAATTCATCGATCTCTACTAGCATATGGGCTCCTGTGCGGATGCCTCGATATTGCCAGCAATCTAATTATGTTAATGATGGATCGTGGCTAGCAGTGGAATCCAGGATGCGCATTTCGTCCTATTTGGGACTCACTGGTCACCTGGATGTACCTGCTTCCTAGTGCCGAGTGATGTTGTTCCCACCGGGATCAACGACGAAATGCGCATCCTGGATTCCACTGCTAGCCACGATCCATCAATAACATAATTAGATTGCTGGCAATATCGAGGCATCCGCACAGGAGCCCATAGGCTAATAGAGATTGATCAATTCGGTCCAATCAACGACAGTATCATATAAAAAGTTATACTAAAAACCATACCCGTCTCACAAGAAGTGGCTCGGTGGTGTAGTGGGTACGGCGCTGGCGTTTGGAGCGATCGCTCCCGAGTCCGAATCCCGGTGGGGACAACATCACTCGGCACTGGGAAGCAGGTACATCCAGGTGACCAGTGAGCCCTAAATAGGACGAAATGCACATCCTGGATTTCACTGCCTAGCTACAATTTATCATTAA